TTTTGTATGCAACATCCATTGATATTTTATCAGTCACTTTACCGTCCAACAGATGGTAGCCAAGTTATTGGCACAACCTGAACTAAAGCAAGATCATCAGGACAATAAAAAAATTTTATTCCAACATTTCCGGCACAGTTAAAACTTAAAGCAATTACAATGACATGTTCCACGTCAGTTTTGAAATATACATAAACAAAAACAAAATGTAGACTAATAGCAAATCAAAAACGGGCAACAGGAATGGAAATAAAGGCTTCATTGGCGGTGTTTTCAGCCTGCAAACATCAAAACACAGAATTAAACATCTACCATTACTAACATGGGTGGAAAAAAGAGTTCTATTATATAGGTAACATATTGTACCAGTTATAATCATTTTTTCCACTCTCGACAAGAAATTCAAGTGCTGGTCCTTTTCTTCCAGACTCCATTCTGTACAGCCCATAGTTTCCTGCAGTCAAGAACTTGATCAAAAAATCAAGTAAAAACATGTATAAGCATCAAGCAAAAGGGATCAATCCCAAAATATTTGACAAAGAACCCTTTCTAATCTAATTTCATGCTCTAAACCATTTTGCACAATAATGAAGTGGAAGGAAGCATATGCAAGGTAGGCACAAAAGCAATCATTGATCAAAATGAACTCAAACTAACAAGAATAAGAATAGATCCACAACATCATTCCCGGAGAAAAATATGAACAATATCTAGCAGTGTGAAATGAACTAGGCCAATGCAGAGGTAGTCTAATCCTGGGTTTGGTAATTATAATCAGAGACCGAGCAAAGTGCACACAGAACGATAGTGTTCTGCAATAGGAACTCACACAAATTTCCCAATAGGAACTCACACAAAGAAGAGAGCTATTTGATAGTTCCCAATAGGAACTCACACAAATTTCAGCCAAATGCAGTGTAATAAAATTAATTGATGGCTACCTCGGAGCAATGAAGAAGAAGAATCCCAATAGTCGATTCTATATGAATCAATTGACGGCTGGAGTTGGCGATGCCTTGTATTTCGAGAGATAGACGACCAGGGATGAGATGAGCGAGAGAGGGGAAGAGAAGGGATGGCTGTATGAATCAATCGATGGCTTTCATCGGCGGTGAACTGTATTCTGATGGCCGGACTTCTACGTAGAGCGAGAGAAGGGATGAGATGAGCAAGAGAGGGGATGAGAGGCATGAAGGCGTTGAGGAGAAGGGAAGCGACGGTGTGTCTAGGTTTGTTGTGAGTGTATATTTTATTTTCATTTATTTTTTAATTTTAAATCATTTTCTATCAAAACAAGCTGTAGGAAATATTTTACAAATAGATATTTAGTGTATTAACAACTAATAAATCTGTAGGTAAATTTCAATTAATGTTTCATTTTTT